AGCAACCATTAACTGCATTATATCCTTTTTGAGGGATGGGGTCTCAGGATCCCTTCCCCACATATTTGATAGGCCCTTTCTACACAAGTCTCTTGCTGACAGTCAACATCTGCTGAGAGTTCAAGAACACAGTGGCATATGTCATGTCCCAAAGAAAGCATTCCACACACTCTGCTTCTTCCAGCTTTTACATTCTTTCCTCTCCATCTTCTGCAATGTTCTCCAAGCCTTGAAGGTGTGTGATATAAATGGCTCATTTAGGAATGAGCGTTCAACAGTCACTTATTCTCAGAACTTTGACTAGTTCATTGGTTAGGAGTCTCTGCCATAACCTCCACCCATTACAAAACTAAGCCTCTGACCAAAGCTGACAATGGCACTGGTCTACGGACATAAACAGAATTATTTAGAAGGCAGTTTGACAGGCACACCATGTCCAGTTGGCAAAGAAACAGCAGTGACTTCCCCCACTAGGGCCTATGACCTACCGCAGGCTTTTGACCAGGTTTGCAGTACCAGATGTGAGTTCCCTCCTATGGAGTGGGCCTCAGATCCAATCATAAAGTGGTTGGTTAACCCCATAACAAACTTGCCGCTCTGCTCTTAATACCGGAAGGCATGTCTTACCTGGCCATTTGGGAGTATAGCATTCAGGGTCTGTAGTTGAGTAAGTGCTAAAGACAGTTCTCTAGTGGCCTGCATAGCACCGTCTGGCACTTTGAACAGGCTAGCCAGCGGAAAAGAAGCTTTCAGATTAGTTCCTGCTTGATTTCCCTATGTCCTGCAATCAAAGTATGTGCTGTCTTCAGCAGTAGATGATCTTACTGTCTACCTCATGGTGGGCAGCCAGGAGCAGGGCAATAGCCTGTATTGTTTCAGGGGCCTCCCTGACCTAACTCTTAAGAGGTGGCCCAGTCCTGGTACTGGAGTTTTCGTTTGATAACATGGTTTCTGGGGGCAACTTTATCTGTCACTACAGGGACCTCTGTTCAAACTAGGGTTTTTTATTATTATAGTACTTGAGCTCTTTTTTTTTAAGTGTGGGGGGTGGGAGAGAGTGTTAGTGTAGTGTGGGTATGTGTGCCATAGCACATGCATAAAGGCCATAGGACGACTTGCAGGAGTTGACTCTCCTCCCACTTTGTTGAAGTGGGTTTTCTTTTTTTCCTGTGCCTCTCTAGGTACTCTAAGATAGCTAACGTGTGAACTTTCTGGCAATCCCCTCTTCCCAATCTCACTGTAGGAGTGCTGGGATTACAGGCACAAATCACCACCTCTAGCATTTTGTGGACTTTAGGGATTAAGCTCAGGTGTCAGGCTTGTGTGGCACATACTTTGCTGAATCACCTCTCCAGCCCTCTTTTTATATTTTAATAATCTTACCAAATATGAGATCTGGCTGACCCTCCCCTCTACTCCTGCATTTTACTACCCCTCTTGCATATTTGGGACTCTTGCAGATTTTTTCTTCCTTAATATTATCAAACAACTGTTTTGTCAGATAATAGAAACTCCTGGTCCATTCTAGCCCCACTTCACTCAGGGTGATTTGTTTTTGCTTTCTGGCTGCTGTTCACATAGCCAAACAGAACTGTTTCATTAAATGCTTTTTTTCCCTTGTATATCCTTAGCTACCAGGAATCCCTTACTAAAAAGAATGCTGTTCTATTTGGTTTCAAGATTCTAAAAATCCCTCAACCAAGACATTAAAATGAAGAGAATCTGTATTTCCAAAGTTAACATTTTTATTCACAGTATAGATCAATTTGGGTTTAGACTGATATACATTACTTTTTTTTTTTTTTTTTTTTTTTTGGTCTTTTTTGAGACAGGGTCTCCCTGTAGCCCCAGCTGTCCTGGAACTCATTATGTAGACCAGGCTGGACTTGAATTCACAGAGATCCACCTGCCTCTACCTCCTGAGTGCTGGGATTAAAGACATGCGCCACCACGCCTGGCTTAAAGTACTTTTTAAAAACTAGGCTATTTTACTTTATTATGGTCAAGAGAATTAGCTATTAGGCTTTCTTTATGCCATTAGTTTGTATAAGTTTATTTATAGTTAGAGAAAATATAATAAAATACTTGGGGCAAGATTTATTTCAAGGCTGCCAGAGATTTGACTAGGATGTGTGATCTCATATGAGTCTGATCTCAAAAATCTGGAAACTACTAAATATGAACCTTAACTTACTATAAAAGTAATCAAATTTTAAGACATATAGCTCTGTTAGTAGTAGTCTTACTGGAATGTAGGGGGTATTTACTTGAATTTTTGTCTGATTTTTGTATTGATGGGCAGAGTCCAGATTCTGTATGAAGTGGTGCATTGTATGAGTTATTCTCATTTGGAATTGTTATTTGTTCTTTGCAAAGCAGTTGTGAGGAATGAGAATGATTTATAGAAGTTCGATTTTCTCCATTCCTAAATTTATTTTTTCTTTTTACTATTTTACAATATCTTATCTGGGCTGTAAAAACTGAAATTTTACACTTTTTTGCTTATAGTAATCTTTTTCTAGGAATGTGCTCATTTTCATTCATCACACAAGAGTGTTCCAAAAAAGTTGTTTTAAAGGACTTTTACCTTCACTTATGGTTAGCTGTGGGCAATAGAAAGAACTCTAAATGTGCTTTTTAAATTTATTTTGACATGTGTATGTGGTTTGTGTATGCATGTTTGGATTTGTTGGGTGCACCTGTACATGTGTGGAGGCCAAAGGTTGATGTCTGTGTGTCCTCCTTGGTGACTGTGTCCACCTAATTTACTGATAAAGAACTAGTCAAGCTAGCCACTTTGCCCTGGGGCTTCCCTTGCCTCTGCTTCCCAAGAACTGGGATTACAGCTGTGCTACCACACCCACCTAGGTTTGCTGTGGATGCTAGAAATCTGAACTTTGATGCTCACACTTCTGTGGCAAGTGCTTTATCCATCGAGCTATCTCTCCAACCCCATAATTCTTGTTATAAATTAAAATACATGTATCTTCTTTGTATTATTTGCCATAAAATCCTTTTATGGTATACATAATTCACAGTAAAATGAGTGTCTCTAAAGGTCTTATCCATAGTTTTTCCATGCTAAGCAATTAAAGGAGGATTTCCCCTGTTATTTCCATTTTACAGATGAATTTGAAAGGACTTTATTGAAAGATATCTCAGTAAATGTACATAAATTCATGCTCCTATATTCATTTTATTTTGTTTTGTGTTTTTGTTGAGATAGGGTCTCACTTGTAGTCCAGGCTAACCTAGAACTCATTCTATGTCCCATACTGGCTCCAAGCACACGGTGATCCTCATAATCAGCCTCCTAAGTGTTAGGTTAACAGGCATGAGCACCATGACTAACTTTATCATCTACTTTTTCAACCTCAAACTATGATAATTAATTGGTTACCAGAGAATAATAACTTAGATGTAGAAGTTATTTTCATTGAGAATGTTAAGTGTGTCCACTTAAGTGCAGTGGAGTACTGACCATTTTGTGGATATGGCTACAATGTTTGAATGTATGATTTCATTCAACAAGCTTCCTCTGAGTGCCAAGTTCTAGGCACTGAGAGTGGGTGACATTGGAAACAGGGAACATATTTGGAGGGCCAACAGAAGCAAAGTATTGGGATGTATTGAATGTTAGAACAGGGCAGAACATAAGAGAAGGACTTTATGCTTCCGTCAGAAATTCAGAACTAAGAACATGAACATCCATCTGTTTTTTCAAGTATTTTTATTTATTTATTTTATTTTATTAATATTTTATTGTTTTATGTGTATGAGAGTATTGCCTCCATGTGTATAAGCACACCCATATCATGCAGTGCCTGCAGAGGTCAGAAGAAGGCATCAGATCCCCTGGAACTGGAGTTACAGACTGTTGTTAGCCACCATCTGGGTGCTGGGAATCAAACCTAGGTCATCTGCAAGAGCAATCAGTGCTCTTAACCACTGAGCCATCTCTCCAACCCCGTCAAGTCAATTGTTTTTGTTGTTTTTGCTCTGTCCGTCTTTATTGGTTGGCATGGGGGGGGGGAACCAAAGGGGGCTGGAGGGCCACAACACAAGCAGGACCACCCAAATAATATATTTTTAAGTACAAAAATTATTAAAACTGACTTCATGTTTACTTGATTAAAATGCTTTTTAAGGCATAAGTGATGAAAAGTGAAAGAGAACTTTTAATTTAAAAAACTCTCTTAACCTCAGAGACAATAGTCATAGTACTTCCTCCACTTTTTTTTAACAGAATGTACTAGTATCATCATGAGAGAAATTACCGAACTTTACATAATCTCTGGTGCCTGTTTGGCAGGATATAAAGATGACTTTTACATCCCGTTGCCTTCTGACAATAACAAGCATTATATATCAAACACAGAAAAATTGAGTGTGAAGAAAAATTATATAAATTAAATTCAAAACCCTTTTCTGTTTTTCATAATAAAATGATTGCTCAAAGAATTCTGTATTATGACTGTTGAAAACTCAGGGCAGTTTATGATAAAACTGATAAAATCTGTGTCCTTGGCCTTCCAACAACCTTTATACCAGCAGATGGTGGGCGTAAAGATGTCATTCATCATTTATTTACAATGGGCTTTATTTATTCTAGTGTCAGCAGCTGCCCCAGGGAGTGGGTTATTGAATTCAAATGTGAGGCTCTGGCTTATTTGCTTCCTTTCAAATTTGTCTTCAGAGTTTAGTTGCTAGGAGTCCATTCTATGCTCTAATAATGATTCGTGTATTGTGAAACCATTCAGTAAGTTGGGTTGTCAGGGGTTGCCAAATAGGGTAAAGGGTCTCGGGGTAGAAGAGTACGGGATGGCCGCCTGAGCATCCTGGGGACTTGTGCAGTAGTGCTATTATGGGACTTTTCCCTAAGTTTGGTGATGTTTTCTTTTTCTGTGCCTTCCTTCCCTTCATTATTCTTTATGATGTAATATGAAGATGTAGAGTATGTTATTTTAAAAGAAACTTGTCAACATTTTGTCTCTTCACAGGCAGGACAGGAGTCTTTTCGTTCTATCACAAGGTCTTATTACAGAGGTGCAGCAGGGGCTTTACTAGTGTATGATATAACAAGGTGAGTACATGTCAGCTTTTCAGCTTAGTATGAGGGAATAGTTCTAAGTAAAGGTAGTTACCAATAATAAAGCATAACTTTTACCTTTGTACCCTGGCTACCTACCTTTAGAACTGTGTCATGAATGAAATTTAAATTTATTACTAAAATCTGCAACTCAATTCTATGTTACTTAAGTAAGCACCCCAAATTGATCAATTTGGTAGTATTATAGACATTGGCATTTTTCTAAAGTGTGTTACATTTACATTTAATTTTTAGCTAAAATGTAATCTGTGAGCTTTAAACCCAAATACTGTGGTTTAATTCTGTTTCTCGTTGTGAGTGGATATGGCCAAAAATGATTACTGTTAGTGGAATGTAGACTGTGTTGTGCACTGCTGGGGGAAGTACTGGAGAACATAATCAAATGTCATTTATTTTTTAGGAGAGACACATTCAACCACTTGACAACCTGGTTAGAAGATGCTCGCCAGCATTCCAATTCCAACATGGTCATTATGCTTATTGGAAATAAAAGGTAAAAGAACTAATTCAGGGCTTAATTTGCATTAATGATGAACATTGTAGATTACTACTTCTGTGGCTACCATTCTTACACATTTGTCTACATAGAAGTTACTGACTTTCTGAATCTAAGTTTTTTGAAAATTCTAAGGTATAGAATAGCCAGGCGTGGTAGTGCACGCCTTTGTGAATTCGAGGCCAGCCTGGTCTACATAGTGAGTTCCAGGCCAGCTGGGGCTACAGGGAGACCTTGTCTCAAAAAGACCAAAAAAAATTAGTTTTTATTTGAAGATATACTTTAAAAATAGAATCCAAGGAAGTTTTATTAAGTTTAAAAGGTGGATAGGTATCTGTTAAGTATTATCCAAATTGAACTGGGTGTGGTGCACATACCTGCAATCTGAGAGGCTAAGGCAGGAGGATCATGACTACAAAGTAAGACCCTGTTTCAAAAAAGATTATATTTTTTCTTAATCTTTTTGAATACTTAACAGTAGAAATAAGTATCTATATAATCAGAAAAATATTACTTCCTTTTTAAATGACGTAATTAGTAGAAATTTTAAAATGGTAACAAAATTAATATTTTTTAAATTCAGGAGATAGAGTTCATTTGTTCTACAAGTTTATAAAATAGATCCTGTAAAAGATAATGTGTTTAGAAAAGTAAAAGCATGACTTTCATATTAATGAATGTTAAAAGTTTTTATTTAATGAGGAAACCAGTAAGATATACAACCAGTCCAAAAAATATCTCAAAATACCACACATTCATATTCAGATAAAGAATACCAAAACAAGATTGCAGACAGGTATAAAACTGAAGGATAGACACAAACTGAAAAGTGCATGTCATGTTGTGTATTGATATGAGTAGCAACTACTTGCATTATTATGTGTTTTCCATATTTAAACTGTCTCATAATCCTTGAAAATTGTGAGATAAGGTGAAATCAATAAAGGGAGACTAACATACCTTAGGAAAAAAAATCAGATCTTAAGAATTATCCAAAAAGTCATGCTAATCCCACCCAAAATTCTGTGCATTTTTTGAGGGATTTAGATTCTGATGATCTGATTTTAAAATTTACACATAAATGTGAATTCTATAGTCTAGTTATGACAACTTCATCAAAGGAACAAAATTGGAAGATTTACTGATTTTACTAATGCAGATTTCAAGATTTTTGTTGTCACTTGAATTTTAAGACAATGTCTCACTCTGTAGCTTGCCTAGAACTTTTATAATAGACCAGGCCAACCTTAAACTTGCAGTGATCCTTTGCCTCTGTCTCCCCAGTGCTGGGATTTTAGTTGTGTGCCACCATGCCTGGCAAGATTTATTATATAGCTACTATAATCACTTGTCTGGTGTTGATATATATGTTAGTCAGCTTTCTGTTGATATGACTGAGTGCCTAATTGAAAATCACATTAGAAGGAGAAAAGACTGCAGAGGCTCCAGTTGATGCCTGCTTGGTGCCATTGCTTTTAGGTCTGCATGGGGTGCAGAAGCTCTTGGCAAAGGGAGCTAGACACTTCACAGTAGCCAGGAAGCCAAGAAAGGAATGTAACTGAGTAGGAAACAGGAATGAACTATTGGTAATGTAGTCAAAATAATGGGCTGCACTGAGGCATGAGGAAACATTGGGGGGCTGGCAGCTGTTTATGTGTGTCAGAACGTGTATATTTTATCTGTTTTCTCTAAGTTATACTTGAGTAAGCTATAAAAACAAGATGACAAAATAATATATTTTAAAGATTTGGTTTTAAAATATATTATTGTAATAGCAATTGAGGTTTACTAGGAGACATTTGTATGATAAAAATCTATCCACTGATTACTTCTTTGTAACTAGAACTATTGGCATTCACTCTAGGCCTTTTTTTTTGGTCTTTTTGAGACAGGGTCTCCTTGTAGTGCCAGCTGTCCTGGAACTCACTATGTAGACCAGGCTGGCCTTGAACTCACAGAGATCCGCCTGCCTCTGCCTCCCGAGTGCTGGGATTAAAGGCATGCACCACCACACCTGGCTTGTTATCTTTTTTTTTTAAGGTTTAACTATTGGAGGGAAATGTTAGTTTTTCTACAATGAAAGTATTCTACTATATAATATATTAAATAAATATAAATAAATGTTTTACACATTTATCTTACCCGTTTTCTTTGTGTATCTGAAACATGATTGGTGGCAGCTTGCTGACTAGAGGAGCTTACTACAGTTCAAAGGAAACAAAGTATAGCATCCCTGGACTGTTTCTATGACTGTCCATAGGGACTCTCACAAGTAGGAGGAGTAGCTAAGGAGAAAGACCACAGAGAAATAAACGAGGTGATTATTACTGGATGAGGCAAATTGGAGTAGACATCAAAGCAGAGGTTAAGCAACATTTTAATTAGTAGGAAGCCAGGAAAGGGATTGAGAAGGTCAGTGAGCTAGTCAGAGTGATAGGTGACACAAAGTTTTCTTACTATGTTATTTTTAATTGATTGTATAAGGAATAGCACTTAATTTTTTTTTTTTTTTTTTTGCCTTTTTGAGACAGGGTCTCCTTGTAGCCCCAGCTGTCCTGGAACTCACTATGTAGACCAGGCTGGGCTCGAATTCACAGAGATCCTCCTGCCTCTGCCTCCCCAGTGCTGGGACTATAGGTGTGCGTCACTATGCCCGGCTAAAATTTTTAAAATAATGGCCTTTTTGGTAGTAGAACTTCTGTAACATAAACTCTAAATAAAAAGGGACCATAAAATAATGGTATAGAAAAGAAACAGTAACTCAGATGGGATACATGGGAAGTGCCTAGTCAGTGACTTGATTTTGTACCTAGAAACTGAGGAAACGACCATTGTTTTCAAAATCAACTTTGTACTAAGTATGTATTCAAATGCAGTGGTCTTTAGGCTTTTTGTTTTGTTTTGTTTTGTTTTAGCTCCTGACATATTTTATTACAAAAATTGATATTCATATACAATCTAATGTGAACTTAAAATTCATCATACATTTACTTATTTTTTAGCTTGACCTTCTAGTAAATCTTTAGCTTCATTGATTTTGGCTGCTATGTAAGGACATCCTCCTTTGTCTGGATGATTTAAGAGCATTATTCATTGATGAGCATGTCTAATCTTCCCTTTATTGGTAGGAAGGCTCACACCTAGTATTAGTGCTGCCTCTCATTTTGTAATTTTGGGTTCAAATCCACCTCTGTAGTAGCCACCACTGAAGGCCTGCAAATCCCGCAGCAACAATGGTCAATCCAACAGCTCCACTGTACTGGCCATGGCTTCACCGCCTGGCCCTATCCCAGCCAAGTGACACTGCCCAACCAAAAAGGCATAGGTGCAGGAGTGCCTGGAACTCAGCAGAGGCAATGCCAGAAACTCAACTTTTAGGCTTTTTTATTTCACCTATAATAAACACATTTTACATGATCTAGAACATAAACTGTGTATACACCTACTTATAAAGCAAGAACTCTTGAAATAGGTTGATCTCTATTTAAAATTGACCCTGGAGGGAACTGGAAAGATGGCTTACTCATTAAGAGTGCTTACTGCTCTTGTAGAGGACCTGGGTTAAGTTCCCAGTACCTGTATGACAACTGTGGCACCCTCTTTGAGTCTCCCCAGTATACATACACACATGCAGGCAAAACAAATGTACACACAAAATAAAAAGAAATAAATCTTTACATTAAAAATTCCACCCCAGAAAAATTTTGGCACATGCACACAATGTTTATAGTATTCCTTATCATATTGTTTATAATAAAGAAAAATTATAAATTCTTCTGTCAAAAAATTATGTTGCATTCAGCAGAATATAATAAAGAATATATATATATATTTGTAGATAAATCTGAAAAACATGTTAACCAAAACTGATAAGCTATAGAGCAATAACTACATTGTGTGTGTGTGTGTGTGTGTGTGTGTGTGTGTGTGTGTGTGTGTTCTACATGTATGCAGAGACCAGAAGAGGGCAATGGAAACTCTGGAGCTCTGTTTACAGGCAGTTATGAGCTACCTAAAGTAGGTGCTGGGAACCAAACTCTGAGCAAGGTCTCTTAACTACTCAGCCATCTCTCTACCCCAGCATCTAGCTTTTAAAAGTTAAGAACTAGGGGCTGGAGAGATGGCTCAGCGGTTAAGAACACTGGCTGTTCTTACAGAAGACCTGGGTTCGAATCCAGAAGCCACATGGCAGCTAACAACTGTCTGTAACTCCAGTTCCAGGGGATCCGACAGCTTCTTCTGCCCTCTGAGGGGATTGCATGACACGGAGCACTTACCTACATGCAGGCAATACACGCATACACATAAAATAAAAATAAGTAAAAAAAAATTTTTTTAATGAAGAACTACTTTCTATTTATAAAAGCATACATGAATATTAGTATTAAAACAAGCTTGAGAATGAAAACACTAAATTTAAACACTTTTGGGGTTTTTGTTTGGTGAATTGTTTTGTCTTTTGTTATTGGGTGATTTTATGTTTTATTTCTTTGGTTTTTGGGGGGGAGGTTGAGATAGGGTGTCACTCTAGCCCAAGGTGTTAAAAACTCACATCAGTCCTCCTGCCTCAGCCTCCCGAGTCCTGGAGTCATAGGTGTGAGCCACAATATCTGAACAGTGTTTGTTTTGAAAGTAATGGGGAAGACAGGGGGATCAAGGACACACAGACACATGGGCAATTCAGCTATATTCATTTCATTTCTTAGAAGTTGGAGAGCTCATGAGATGGCTCAGTGGGTAAAGTGCTTACTACACAAACCTGGTACCTGAGTTAAATCACTAGAACCCATCTAAGGGTAGAAAAACAGAACCAGCTCCCAAAAGTTATTCTCTGGCCTTCACACGCATGCAAGTTATAACTTGTGTATACCTACACACACACACAAATAAGTAAAATGTAATTTAAAATTTTTTAGTTTGAAATAAATCTGGCAAAGTAAAATGTCATGGCTACATTGAAGTTCATGAATGTTACAAAGTAATATATTGTTTCATAATAAAGATTTTAAACTTTTACAATAAAGCACACTCTAGAGACACTGCCCCCCTTTCCTCACAAATACAATTCCTTTTTTCTATTTCAGTGTCTTGTTTTGTTTTTTAATTTTTTATTGAATATTTGTATACTTCATGTAGAAAATCATCTTTATGCCCCTTTCCCCTTTGGCACCCTCCCATAGCCTTCCCCACTGAAGTTCATACCTTCTGTCATTTGTGTTAAGGCCTATCATGTAAAATTAATGTCCCCCAGCAGTAATCAGCTGCCAATAATTCTTTAACTAAGATTGGGGCCTGCTGTTGATTTCCACAGTTCTATGCTTGGTTTTTGTCTGCCTGGGTTTGCATGGGTCTTGTTCATGCTGACACCATTGCTGTAGGTTTGTATGAGAATGGTCCCAGGTGCCTAACTAAGGACTATTTCCATATGGTTATGCACCTCTTCCCTGGCTCTTACAATCTTTCTGCTCCCTCTTCCGCAATGGTCCCTGAGTCCTGGATGGGTGGATTTTAATATAGGAGTCCTGTCCAAGGACCCACACTCTGCAGACTCTTAGCCTTTGCATTTTGGCCATTCGTGACATTCTGTGCTCCTGGCCCTCTGTTGCATGAGGGCGCTTCATTGATGAAAATTGAAAATATGCATTAGTGTTCTCTTCATCCTTTGGTATAGAGATTGCATCCCACATGTGCCCTTAGGCTTGGGTAATTCATAGACAATCTCTATGTGTGAACAGTTGTAACTCTGTAACTATCTCTGTCTCTTGAAAAAGAAGCTTCTTGGATGGGTGATGACTAGGATACTTGTCTGTAGATTTAAGGATCCATATTACATTTTTCTACGTATGTGGCAGCTTTGGAGTTTTCTCTAAGATCTGTGACCTCTCCAGCTTATATGTATTTGGCTATGTTTATAGTATCACACATGAGTTTCCTCCCACTGAGTGCGCTTTAAGTCCAACTAGGTAGCTATTGATAACCCCCAAGATAAAAGTGCCACTACTGGGCTGGAGAGATTGCTCAGCAGTTAAGAACACTGGTTGTTCTTGACCCAGGTTCAAATCCCAGTACCCACATGGCAGCTAACAACTGTCCGTAACTCCAGTTCCAGGGGGTCCGATTGGCCTCCTCTGTCCTCCACGGGCATTGCATGACACGGATGCACTTACCTACATGCAGGCAATACACTCATACACATAAAATTTAAAAAAGGTGCCACTACTGCACCACTGTTCTTTGCTGTGCTGGTCATTAATATGGTTTTTAGGCCTTGAGGCTGGGATTAGACCATCGATTGATGTTCTCCCTTAGCACCTTGTGTGGTGCTCTCCAAAGCTTTGAGAGCTAGGCTTCAGGGGAGGTGGGTTCCAGGTCAGTTCCAGTTCTGTTGCTCTAAATCTTGTGTCCAAAGTATGTCCTGTCTTCGGCAATAGGGTCTTACCATTGAGTTCTGGGAGGTAATCAAGGACTGTGACAATAGCCTGTCTTTTGGGGAGTCTCTTGGACTACCCTGGTCAACAACTCAAAGGAAGGTTTCTTCTGTCTGGCACTGTTTCTTGTCATAAGGCCTTCAGCTATACCCACAGAGTCATGCAGAGATGTTGTATGTGTAATTTTTCAGTAGGTTTTTTGAACTGATAGCATTACCTCTGTTTTTTTATACTAGCTAGGCACTATTTATGTCTTCTCTTTCTCTCCCTGTCTTATCCTCCCTCTCCACCCTCCCAATTTGAAGTATCTCCATTTTCCCCATTTCTCCTTTGATAATTTCTGTCTGTTATGGTCCCACATCTCTTGAGCTCCTTCTTCCCCTTTATTTCCATAGTTCCTTGTATAGCCCTCCTCCCCCTCCTATTTAACTACCCCCTTTTGACACATTTCTTCCTTAGGAACACCTGTCTCCTGCTATTCTTCTCTCTCAGGTTCCTTCCTTCCCTTTACCTCTCTGGTTTTCTTCCATTTTCTTGGTTCCTGCAGTTACATCAGGATATGCACTCATTTATAAGGATTTGGTGCCAGGATCCACAAATTAGGGAGAACATACATCTTCTGTTTTTCTGAGTCTGTTACTTTACTTAGTATAACAGTCTAGATACATCCATTTACCTGAAAATTTTATTATTTCATCTTTCTTTACTGCTGAATAGAACTCCATCATATAAATGTACCACATTTTCGTTAACCACTAATCTATTGAGGGGCACTTAGGTTGCTCCCATCTCTTAGCTATTGTAAAAAGAACAGCAACAAACATGGTTGTACAAGTATCTCTGCAACAGGATGAGTCCTTTGGGTATATGCCAAGGAGTGGTATAACCGGGTCATATCGTAGGTTCATTTTTAATTTTTTTAAAGTTTTCCACACTGCTTTCCATAGGGGTTGCATGAGTTTGCAATCCCACCAGCAGTGAATGAGTGTTCCCCTTCTCCTACATCCTCTCCAGCATTTGGTATCATTGGTTTTCTTAATCTTTACCAGTCTGACTGGGGTAAGATGAAATCTTAAAGTGTTTTTAATTTGCATTTCCCTAATTACTGAAGATGTTGAACACGTTTTAAGATGTTTCTTAGCCATCTTTAGTTCTTCTTTTGCGAATTCTCTGGTTAGATCTTTAGCCCATCTTTTAAGTGGGTCATTTTCTGTACAGAAGTTTTTTAGTTTAATGAGGTCCCACATGTTGAATGTTGACCTTATTTCCTGAGCGTCTGGTATCTGATTTCGAAAGTCCTTTCCTATACCTATATCTTGGAGGTTACTACCAATGGTTTCTTCTAACAGTTTCAAGTTTCACATTGAGGTCTTTGATCCATTTGGAGTTGACTTTTGTGCATGGTGAAAGATAAGGATCTAGTTTCATTCTTCTACAGGTGGAGATCCAGTTTTGCCAGCGTCATTTGTTGAAGGTGCTATCCTTCCTCCATTGTTTGTTTTTGGCACCTGCAAATACAATTCTTTATGAAAAAATTGAATATTGGGCTTCCATCCCAACTTTATAGCTTAGACACTTGTGCCTGCCTGGTCTGTCCCTACCATTCTCCTGGTAGTTTTTCTTTAAAAAGAAACAGAATTAAACCAAAATTAATGATCTAATTAATGTTTATTTAGAATTTTGGCTTTTACTGGGAAATTTCATATAGTTTCTAGGAGTTGGATGATTTATATTTTGATGGCATTCCTAGAAACTCTGGCACTGTGGCCAAAGAATGAGCAGACCAGTTAGTCCTCGTCTTCCAGCTGCTATTTTCAGCCAGATGATTTTCTGTATTGGTAATCTGCTGTGCTTGAAGACAGGGTGTTGGACTCTAGCTCTTTTCATGATATTGCTGTAATATTTCTAGCATTCCAAGACTATCTCTCAATATTTCTTCTTCTGTATTTTTAGTCATTTGAAAGTAAGCAAAGTATTCCAAACATTTTTGACCCTCATGATACCCTAAATAATGCAAAAATTAGTTAACTGAATGGTCAGCATAGCATGGGGACTCATGGTGTGCCTTTCATTGATGCCTCTGTGTATACCATGTTAGTTAATGATACAACTTTTTCTCTCCTGTGTTTAGTGATTTAGAATCTAGGAGAGAAGTAAAAAAAGAAGAAGGTGAAGCTTTTGCCCGAGAACATGGACTTATCTTCATGGAAACTTCTGCCAAGACTGCATCCAATGTAGAAGAGGTAAATAAGAGACCCTTGTACACATGCATCATCTGTTTACTTATAGAAGAGTTTCATATACCTTAACATTGCATTTATTAGTTCTTATTCCATAACTTTAATAGTTTCTGCCTATTGTTGAATATAATAAAGTCGAAAGATTACTTCTCTTTGATGTGCTTTTTGACATTTATTTCTCTCAGCCTCTTAAATTGGCTTTGAAGGCGTGTAGCCTGTATGTGTAAAAGAGGAAATAAGGCTAAGAAAAGTTTACTTGACGTAATGCTTAATTTCCACCTCCTGAATAAGCACAGCTTGTAAAAGCAGCTATAGGAAGGTGCTCCAGAAAACAAGTGATTGAAAAAGCTCATTGTTGTGAGTATAGCAGAGGAAAGGATCCTATACATCAGTTACCACAGTAGTACTTCCTACATGGTCTCTAGTTAGTAAAAGCCTAATACTTGGACCGAGAAATTAGCTGTAGTAATTCTGTGACACTGGTTTTTTTCAGTAAAGAATTCTTTCTTAAGTGAGATACTTATCTATACTTGACAAGGTACCCTGTGAGGAGTCTAAATGCATTTCCTTCAAGCACTAACTAGTGATTTTCTTGTGATGAACAGCTTGACAACATTGCCCTTCACACAGCAACACCCAGTGAGAAACCTGTTCCACCTTTTTCTCTGCTCAAATAGAAAGGGGCATATACATATATGACGCTACCTATTTTAGAGAGGTTCTCCTCTGTTAGAAGTGTTGTTTGGAATCATAAAGACAGTGTTTGGTGGGGCAGGGCTTTAAGACAGCTGAAGCATTTCCTTATTAATGAAGAATCATGCTTTGAGGTCAGATACCAAGACTTCATCTCATGGAGAAACCTTAGACTTCTAATTATCTTGATTTCTCTTAGTACATAACAATGTTCATGTGTAAGCAATAAACTGTTGTCCTTGTGGTTGAGCATTTCAATGAAATGTCATATTCCAGGAACAGTTTAGCAGCACTTACAAAAATTCTCTATTTGTGACTTATAAAATAATTGTTTAAATTTGATCTAAGCAAAAATTTGCCTTAACAATGAAATTAATTTGCCTCTCAAAAGCTAAGGATTTTTATGATAAAGTATTTTAAGATGGGGGACTGTTCTGTGATCTTTAAAAGGCTGAAATCAAGTAGGGCATCGTGACCAGTGCCTATAATCCCAACACTCAGGAGGCTGACACAGTAGGATTGGCATGAGTTTGAGGCTAGCCTGGTTAGCCAAGAGACATCTGCTACTGGGAAGCTAAAATAGTTGAACTTTTCCTTATTCCTACTGACTAGTGCAGCTAAAGAACACCAAAGTTCCAGGAAAGGAGCACAACAGAGAACTCTAAAGCCATGGTAGCACACACTCGTGGTATCAGTACTTGGAAAACCAAGCCAGGAGCATTGTGGATTTCAGGCCAATCTCGTTGCACATGGAGGACCCCACTTTTAAAAAACAAACAAGAGCTGGGCGTGATGATGTATGCCTTTAATCCCAGCACTTAAGAGGCAGAAGCAGAGGCTGGTGGATCTCTATTAGATCAAGGCCAGCCTGGTCAAGATAGTAAATTCCAGGCCAGTGGGGGATAACAATAAACAAACAAACAAACAGAGGAAGAAAGGAAAGAAGAAAAAAGCTAATATAGCAAGACATCACAGAAAAAAATTGAGGTGCCATATTGTACCACCACAATAAGCTATTCCCATCATTACCCAGCTGTGAAGAAGTGGTACCACCACTTCCCTGTTAGAGCAGTGTTAGAAGATGTCCACTAAAGCAGAGGTCTAAATCTAGAGTCTCATAACACAGTACTCAAAATGCCCAGGTTCCAATGGAAGATCTGCATACCTAGACCAAGATCTCACATTGAAAAGAGAGATTGAATATGGTGGCTCACACCTGTAATCCCAGTGCTTGGGAGACTGAGGCAGGATCCTTTGAATCCCCAAGCCACCCTAGGCTACAGCTTGAGACCCTCTCTCAGACAAAATATAAAAGCAAAGAAAGACCTTAGATCACTAAAGTGATAAAGACTCTAGAATTGCTGATCTGGGATTTTTAAATGTTTCAGAAAAAAAACTGTAAGGGGCAGGTTTTAGTGCAAACATAGCCAAGTTCATAAGCCATATCACACACATCAAAAATCCCAAATTCATAAAATTTGGCTCTCTTTTAAGGGATAGATCCCAAGTTCCTGAGGAACATGGATATTGCCAAGACCCACAACACGAAGGAAGGTACAGGTCATGAGACATGTGCCAGGGCTACCGAGGCCTTCACAAAGCTCAAGCAAGTTAAGCTTGATTCCAAAAGACGTCAGCTGCAAGCTCAGCCATCATGCCTGCATCACTCACTCTGAGACTGGGAAGTATGTTCACACCTGAACTGCCAGCCATCTCAGCTTCAGCTCTAGCTTAGGCTGAGCCCCATAGACTCCTTAGGAAGACAGTGGATTGCTGTGACCCCAGGACTGTTATCTGCATGGAGCTGGGATCCTCCTTTCCTGATTGTATAAATAAACCTGAGTCAGGACTCACAAAAAATATATAAAAAGAAGAAATTTTAGAACTAAAATTTGGATAATTGAAATTAATTACTCTAATAGACTCAGAAGCAGAAGGGATATAACAGAAAAAATAGCAAATAAAACAATAGAAGCTACCTAGTTTAAACAGCTGAGATTGACTAGGGGTATGGCCTAGTGCTACAGCATTTACCTCGTATGCATTAAACTCTGGGTTTGATCCCTAGTATCCTAAAAAATAAATTTTAAAAAAGGGCGCGGTGGTGCACACTTTTAATCCCAGCACCCCAGAGACAGAGACAGTTAGATTCCAGGCCAGCTGGGAATACAGGGCGACCCTGTTTCCAAAAAA